TGTGGATGATCTTCATCTTGTGTCTTTTGAAAATCTTCAGGGTTAGTTGAGCATTCTTCTTAGTGACTCAATTTGTGTGTTTTATTAACCTCTAGGGCTTTGGCTGAAAGAGAGAAATGCTTAACTATTATTCTTTTCCTGGACTGACTGATTTTAGAGGGGATGCTGTGCTTTCCACTTGGCCTCTTGTTTGACATTTTTCTGAGGTTTTGCTTGTCTTTATGCCAGTGTCAACTAACTAGAGCCACTGAGTGCAGGAAGAAACCCTGGCAGTCATATTAATGAGGGCTGTAGCAGTTAATAATGCATATTGACCAAAATCTGCCGCCAAATGATCAGGAAGAGGGATAATTGTGTAGGATCTATTATAAATATGAGGGTATGCCAGCCTATGTATGTTGTCAGATCTGGATCCAATCATGCTGGACTTCAGGGCATTTTGAAACTGGGGTTTTAGTTAGGGCCCATTACATTGGGTGAGGGATTGAGAGACACAAAAGACATATATTTATTCTTTCAGATCCCTGTTTTAGATCACATACAATGTAATCTTCAAAAACATGTAATCTATCAAGATAGCCCTTCAAAAAACAGCATCAATCAAAATAAAAGCATTTTTAAATGCTGGCAAGAAACTCTATAATTATAAAAACAAAGTAAAATAAGACATTCAAAAGTGATGCTACATAATCCAAATACTGTATGAAAGTTGAGCTCTGCTTAAACTAACCTTATGATCTACTAATTTAGAAAAAGGAATGAGACCTCATTTCTAGCGTGCATTCTAAATTCAATTAAATCTAACAAACTTGCTGAGAGTGTACTTTTCATTTCCTTATACGCAGGGAACCAATGTATTTAACCAGTTTAATTGTTCAGCATAAAGCAATGATGGGTACCATACTAACAAAAATTACATCAAATTCTGCTGGGGCATTTGAAAGGCATGTCTGCAGCTGATAACATCTTTGTGAAGAGAAGAATTTCGGATGTTTTTTTCTTTCTTGCTTGCTAATAAAATCTTTAATTTATCCTTAAGACAAAATAATATAGTCTGACTATGGTTTTTCCCCATAAAATATAGTGCAACTAACTAGTGTGCTGGTACAATTAAGAAAGATAGGGATAAGAAACCATTAAAACGTAGAGCTGGAGTATAAGTGAGGATTTACATTCAAATGGCCAAATTTTGCACTTGGATCCAAATGTGCAAATTCCATTTAAGTCAATTTAGTAGGTATATGGCATTAAATAGATTACAGAAATGTCATTCAAAAGTATTAACTGCCTTGTCATAGATCAGTATGCTCAATTTTATTTGTGCTGGTGTTTGCACCTCCCACTGACTATAACAGGAATCCCATGAACGTATACATGAACAGAATTTGACACCAACATCTTAAAGTTAGGAGGGACCTCTTCCTTAGTCATTTATTACAGGTCCCTTAACAATACAAAACTCAAGCACCTGCCCCAAAACCTGGGAAAAACACACCAGCAGACCTGGTGCCTCTAAAAGGCAATGCTTCCTTCCCTACTTGCAAACATTGAGTCTGTGTATAACAAAAGAAAACTTTTATTAAGAGGAGAGGGAACACAGCATTAATTTGGGACAGTACAGCAACAATTTTCCTTCCCTTTAGTCATGCAATAAAGATAACATTTTATTACTCCTTCATCCAAGACTTAAGTGAATTTTAACACAAACCAGGCAAAGTTGATCACCTTGGCCAGGTAGTGCTGCCAGCTGATCACCGAGGCAAAGTAGATGTGTCTATCAAATACAGTCTGCTCCTGAGGTCTTCTCCCCCAGTTCATCAACAGATGGCAGGGAAGAGCTCATCCACTGCCTTACATTGTCATAAGCCACCTCTAAGGGGCACATGCTTACCATGACCCTTCTTATCACTCACATGAAGAGTCCCATTGGTTTAAAATGTGACTCCTTCCATTTCTAAATGCATCTTAATGTGAGTGAGGTATGTAGAATCAGACCAATGAGAATAAATTGTATTTACTATACATATTGCTGCAGGGAGGCACATAGCATCAAACTTTGGGCTTTTTTTCTGCATCCATGGTTCCAGTCACAGTCTACCTATCCAAAAAGTTCACTTTTTCTCCTGCACACTAATACCCTTCTCTCTGTGAAGCCAAACTGAATAGTACACATTAGCTATTGTAAGGTGTTCCCAAAAAACATTACTCTGCTGCTAAGCCAACAAGCCCTATGTGAATGCTGGACTTTGGATCCACCTCTGTAGGTCAGTCCTTGATCTCCTTGATCTCCATACTCTAAGACCTCAAGTTTCTGCACAGTTTTTAAGTTTTTCCAAATGCCATTAGGAACATAGAATGCACATTATGACTTCAGAAAATAATTAATGTAATTAGGTTTGATAAGGACTATTGCTTTTATTTTGGTAATTAATAATTAGAGGTAGAATGCTTTGAAAATTCTGGGCAAGGTCTTCAGGTGGTATAAATTGGTGTAGCTCCAATGAAGCTGCTTTACACCAGCTGTGGATCTGGCCTTTCATTTTGTGAAGAACATTCTGAAAGTTTGTTCTCACATTTTTTCAGAGATTTTGTGAGGCGCAAAAGTGGAAAATGCACATAACTCAAGAGAACAAAACCCAGGCACAGAGCAGCACACTGATTAGACCCTACTTCTGAGGTTATGATTCCACACCCTCCATGTTATTGTTGATTTGCCCGACAAAAACATACTAAAATGCAACAGTTAAATAAACAGCCTTCACTTAATTTCAAGCTTTATAATTGACTGTCAGTTAATTACACAGTTGTAACCCATATCTTATTACAAATACAAAGGACTATAGACATGCATTTTAAACAGCACATTTTCCTAACTTGCAGCATTTCCCTTTTTTGGAAGCCATTGCAATCAATTGTGATTATAGTAACAACCGCAAAACATTTATTACTTAATGTCAGTTATTTAAATGTCAGTCTGAAAAAAGAGAAACTATGTAGTTGTCTATTAAGTCAATATATCCCAACAAAACTATTTATAGTATATAGATAGATATTATTTGAGGACTTTCTAAAGAATAAATTATCAAAATCACAATAGGCCAGTGGTCTCATGCCATCACTCATTTTTTCCCTTTTATTTCTCCTTCTTTCCTCTTCTTTACTGATTTTAGTTGTGTCTATGGGAAACTCTCAGTTCGAGAAGGGAGTTTTCTGCTTTGTTACTTGGTTTGTGGTCATTGTAATGTCTTCTGGTAGTGAGTTCTAAAACTTTTGTCCTGTTTCTAAAAGAGACCTGTCTACTGCTTTCCTGAGCTTCACCCTTGAGTTAATAGTTGAGTTCATAGTTAATGAGAAATGTAGCAGCTGAGGGAGATTGTCATCACAGAGAGGAAGATGTTCTTTAAAATTCCTAAGGACAATTCCATGAAGGGCTTAGGACTGATGTGCCTTTGGCCTGGAATTCACTGGGGATCCCGTCTAGTGGGGTGGGAAACAATAGGGTGAGGCTGATAATTGCTGAGGATGTGGACTACTCTGTTCTGGGATAATCAAAGGTTTTAAAAAATTGTTGTGCTCATAGCTAGGGAAAGTGAGTTGCAGTAATCCAGCCTGGAAGTTTCCAAGATGTGGATCACCCCCATGGATCACCATAGTGAAGTCATAGTCCAGCAGGATATGGCGCAGCCTTCTAGCCAGTCTCAGGTGGAAGAAAGCATTTTGCATAACTAGATATTAGAGCATCCTGCAAGTGTAGGTGCCCCCCCGCCCCGCCCTGACTCCACCCCTGCCCCGCCCCATCCCGCCCCCATTCCAACCCCTTC